ATTGTGGAGAGTCCAGAATTTGTAGGCAAATAGTTTAGACATTTCCTGGGGCTCCTGTTGTTTTCCCTTGGCTTTTATGTATAAAATACTTTCCTGAGGGGCTGGGGATTTAGCTCAGTGGCACAGCCCCTGCCTGGCAAGCACAAGGTCATGAGTTCGATTCCTGGTACCAGAAGAAGAACAAAAACACAAACAAAATGCTTGCCTGCAGTTGCTTCCCTGCTATCACTTGCTCTGTCGGCTCTAGCCACACCATCCTCGTTGCTGATCCTGGAGCCCATTCCTGGGCTCTAACGGCCCCTGTTCCATTCCTGGGGCCCTCGTGTCCCCGAGAGCTGGATGCTCCCTTCCTCCTTTCTCCCCCGCATGACTGTTGTCCCCGTTCACCTTTCCGTGGAGTCTCCCCGAGCCCTCTGTTCACGGGTGCAGCTGTCCCTGTGTGCTGTCCCCCTCTGCAGCCTCTGTGATCGTACTGGTGCACCTTCTGTCCCCTCTCAGTGAAACTCAACCCTCCGAGGGGTGTTTTGCTAGTTTTGTTCTCCTGTGACTCTGCTGGCACACAGCATGCATGCGATCGGTATTCTTGAATGAAGGAAAAATACGTAGGATGGAGGTTGGGCACATTCTTGAAGACTTTGACACGTGACCTAGATTGTGAAGTGGACATTACTGTGGTTTTTTTGAGTCATAGTCCTTCCAATCAAAAATGCATATTGTTTCCCAACTACCTTTAGAGGCTGACTTCTTCCTGGTGGTTTTCATTTTCCCAATCCAGTAGATGACAAACATGATATTGTCTTGCTGTTCTTCGTCTTTGTTATGATGGTACATCCTGGGCTTTAGCCATCCGGTATAGAAGAGGAGTTTTACTCCTTTGTGTTTCTTTGTCAGAGAATCTTTTCTTAAGCCTTTCGTGTGCCCCATTCCAGGTCACAGGTAGGGGCCACGAGGCCACTGTGGTTGTCTCAGGTTGGTCACCTGGGGCTGAGGTGACCTCCCATTTTCTCTAGTAATTGAGTAAAGTCAGGACTCTGTCCACACACCTGAGAGAGGACGGCATGGCGGCACAAACCAAGCCTGCGTTGCATAACCTGTGAACAGAGCACAGACGTTACGATTCAAATACTTTCGTTACTGGAAATTTTAAAATCCTTATTGAAAACTTGGAAAATGCAAAGAGGAAGAATAAAAAAGTAATCGTGACTCCCAAATGATTATTTTAATACGTTATTTTCTGGTCTTTTTTCTTTGCATATTTTTATATGAACTGAATGGTTCAGAACAGTTTTGTGTAAGTCTTCATGTAAAACCATGGCACCCTTTTTTCACACTTTTTTCCCCAACAAACTGTAATTTCATGCCTACAGGGCTTTCCGTGCACTTGGACAAGTCTCATATCGTGTCTTATTGTTGGATGGAAAGTTGTTTGAGCTTTGTACCACCTCATTATTGCCAGCCATAGTGCTATACATATGTAATGTATAACACTGAGCTTTTAGGGTCATTTTGATGAGATGAATGCTGAGAAGTGAAATCGTCAGGTCAAAGGGCATGAATATTTCTACTGCCAAATAGTTCTTCAGAAGAATTGTCCATTTGCACTGTGATGCTTACACGTGGAGCTGGTTTATGTCAGTTAATTTGTATTGGAAGAAAACAGGTCCTTGCCCTCTTCCCTTTTGGAGTGTGACAGTTGGAGTTTCATTTAGAATAAACACTAATAAAGCCTAAAATAACTAATGGTTGTGGCTCAACAGTCTCCCGTGAGAGCTTGTCGCAAATTTTAATAGCCAAAGGGGTTTATTTCCTTTCATTTTCTTCTCCCCTCTGCTATTTTCTTCTTCCCTCCAGGGTTAAACCATGTTTTCCTGTCTGCAGTTAAGCCTCAGTACTTCTCGGTCTGTCTTTGTTGATTAATGAATATAATTGACCCCTGTTGTCTCTATTATACAATCCAGGGCAATTTGTTTTTATGTAGCAGTTATTTTCTGAGCTGTCACAAAACTGCCTTACAAAGAAGGCTCATTATCAACCCAGAGGCAAAGGATTTCAAGTGATGAAATGAATGAAGGTCTTTAAAAGAAGGAGGAGGAGGAAAAGTCTAAGCTGTTCCAATCTTTAAAGAAGTTAGTGAGTTTTAGGGGACAGAATAATTAATTGTTGCTTACATGGTACCCAGCAAGACTTGATTAAATGTAGAAATTATTAGATTAAAAAATGACTCTACAGGGAAACCTTTGAGTCCTGGATATATAGGAGGATTGAATACAGATCCTAGAAAAAACCATGAATGACATTTTATGGACAGGTTGCAGTCCATTAGAAGTTGGTTGTAGAAAACCCAGTTATATGTCGATATCCAGGGACTAGTACCTTGGGAGTTGGCAGGTTTCACCTGTGCAGATGTTGACCGCGCAGAACACCCAAATACTGTATCAGAAAATGTTTCGCTATTCGTTTAGTTAAGGTTTTCCTTTGCTTGCTGTCCTCCTTGTGTGCTCATGAAGTCTTTCCTTCAGCTCACAAGAAAGTAAGAAAGTAGCAGAGGTCCAGAGGAAAGCTAATGGGGCAGATAGAGGTCTTGACTTCATCCCAGTCAGTCTGCCAAAGCCCCGGACAAATGAGATCGTGGTGTTATAGGGATTCACCTGGTCTTGCTCCAGGGCTTGTGTTCTGCAGTTTCATAGGAAGGCCGTGCACGACTGCTCTGCATAGCCCTCTTACTCTTTCTCCTGAGAGAAGGGAAGGAATTAACCAGGGAGAGGTGGAAAGGAAATCCTGAGTAGCAACAGTGAAATAATTAGAATGGTTTCTCTGAATCATACAGTGTGGCCAACAGGCGGGACCTTAAACCTGTTCTCTTCATTTTGTGGTTTGTAGATGGGCAAAGTCAAGTATCAATTTGATTAGTTTTACTTCAGTTCTTCTGTTTAACCTGGAGAGCTGGATCTAAAGCCTGGACCTCCGCTTTTCCTATTCAGTGCAGCAGACCCAGGCAGGAGACTTCTGGCCAGACTGAGGGGTCTTGGGGCTCATTCTTCCTTCTTTTCTCACACCCAGACAGGAGCATTTGCTCCTGCCCTCTTCCAGAGAGGATCTGTGCAAAGTGCAAGACTATATTAATTGGAAAGCAGGTGACATTGTTACTTTACTAAGATATGCTTTGTCTTGTTACAAGGCTCAGCAGACAGTCGTTTTGGTCCCTTCCAGAAACCTCTGATACAAGAGCCATTTAGCAGAGGGACAGCTCTGGGGATGGGCAGGTGGAGGAACTTGAAGAACTGCTTTGAAATTAACCCTACAGATTATGTGGTATCTGAAACTGGGAGTTTTCCTTGTCTTGTTGGAAAGAAATGAGCTGTCCGTCTTCAGAGAATGAAGTAGTTGTTTTATCAAAGAAGGGAGCACTCTTTGCTGCTGATGGTCGCCAGAGTGTGGGAGGTCACAAGTCAGTTTTTGGGACCAGAGGAAGACAGCCACTTGCCTGTCTTGAGTGTTTGAATTAAGAATGCCTTGGGGAGGGAGGGAGGAGGGAAAGGTTGACCAAGAGGATGAAGCTCTTGGTGCTATGGCACGGTAGGGTGGCTGTGGCTAACGATAATGCACCGCACATTTTAAGAGGCTAGAAGAAAGGATTTTAAAAGGTTATGTCGTAAAGAAATGATAAATGTTTGAGGAGATAAGATGTTTAACCTGGCTTAAACATTATACAGTGTCTGTCAAACATCACCTTACTCCATTATTAATGTGTTAACTTTTTATGTTTTATGCATCCATCAAATATAAATTAAATTTTTACAAGAATTTCCATAGTTGTTTTGCACAAGAGTAGAGTTTGGTAACTCATTGTCCTCCTGTTAAGGGAATTTGCAGTGGTATGCAAACAAAAGTTGGGGGACTTGGGTCAAAATATATTTCAGAAGTCTCAGATTTATTATACAGTCACTTCAACCAGTGAAGAAAACACACGAAGTGACGTTAACAGCGACATGGGGCATATTTGCGTGAACTTTAACTGATCTGTACTTAGCATTTCCATTTTTATTAACAAGAAAATTTAAAAACACCTCTCTCCCTTTTCCATGGCATACCGTTCATTGGTTTAACTTTGTACAGGTGGCTCTCATGTTAAGAGGCACGGTCTACTCACTTACACTTTCCTTATTTATGATTCGGAACTGTCTTATTGCGTCTCCTCCCGTGTCTCACTGAGGCTGTCTCGATGGCTATACGTTATGTAGTTGCATTTCCTTTCCTCCCGCGGAAGTGAAGTCATTAAAAAGAGAAAAACGCTCACATGGGTAGGATCCATACTTAATTCAGTGCAGGAGTACGCAGTTGTTTCTCAAATCCTTCTCTCAGAATCTCCATTTCACCCCCGGGACTTTACTGCAGAGAAGCCCTTCTTTCCTAATTTCCTTCCCTTCCTGCTCAGCGGTCTGGTTCTCTGGCAACCTTTACTTCCTCATCTTCCTCATTTCTTTGGGGCTTTATCTCCAAAACCCCTGCTCCTTGCTTGTCCTCTGCTCTATCAAAATCAACCCCCTACTAAGTTATTTTTCTTAATAAATGCTCATCATTTCTTCAAAGATATGAAACATTATGTTCCTTTGAGCTCAGAATTTATATGAAGGGATGCATTGCTGTCTGTTCCAGCGAAATGGATCTTACAAATGTGTTCTGTGCCATAGCCTCTCTCTTTGTCCCAGTAACAAAACGCTGCCGTCAGGAGCCGCTGTACAGCAAGGTAAGTCCCCCACCTCCCCTGAGGCCAGGTGCTGTGTTGTGATGACCGCAGACGTCACCTGTACTTGGCACTTAATTTTCTAGAATACTTCGTTGGACTCTCATGAAATCAGAAGTGTTTTTAGGCTTTGGAGGACTTGGTCCTTCATGAGCTTGGACTTGTGCCTCTACTTTAATCACCAATGTACCGCAAAGTGATTCGCCTGTGATTTAGCTCGTCTCATGCTGTCCTGTCTGGATTTTGTCATTCACAGGGTACTCCGGTCAGGACTTCGACTGGGCAGATTATTACAAGCAGCATGGGGCGGAAGAAGCACCTCCCTTCTGCTTCAGAAATGTGAGAAACTTCCCTCTTGCTACTTTTAAAATGATAGATGTTGCTAACTGTACATTTTATAAATTGCTTTCTATTTATTCACCAAGTCTGGAGGTTACAAAACACTCACAGGTTTTGAAAAGCCCACCTTTCAGGGTATGGGTTTGTTAGTGATGCTGGGCCATAGTAACAGAGTGACTAGTAAATGTACAATTGCTCTAACGTGTGAAGTTTATTTCTCATTTATGGAAGAGACCAGGGTGTTCTGACTACTGACTGGGTAGCACTCATCATGATGAGTCTTGGGTTAAATTCATCCCTTGAATGTAGTCAATAGATAAAAAAGATCAAGAAGGTGATACCCTTAGTTCTAAATGCACAGCATGGTGGCAGCACATACTGTTTCTCTTACCTTCCATTGGTGAGAATCAGTCTCTCAGCTGCTATCAATGAGGTAAAGAGAAGAATCCTGCCAGGTGCAATGGCACACACCTGTCACCCTCGCACTGTGAGAGGCTGGGGCTGGCGTCACCCAGTTTGAGCCCAGCTCGGTCTCATTAGTGACTTAATGAGAACTTGTCTCAAAAAGTAAAAGAAGTAAGAATGGTCTAGGGATGCAGATGAGTGTAAAGACTCTGAGTTTGGCCTCCAGTACCAGAAGAAAAGAAATGAGAAAAGAAATGGGTCCTGGCTTCTGCTTCCCAGCCATGATTTTGTACTGTGGAGAAAGAAGAGAAATTTTGGTGGACACTTAGCCATCTGTAACTCCATTATATAAATGTTCACTATGTGGTAATAATATTGACAAGTTATTAAAAATAATATTTTTCTGTATTTAATTAAGTATTAGTGAGATGCTGCTAAAAGGTTTTGTGCTTTGCCTACTGCAAGCTCCTGCCTTATTGAAAGAGAACTTATTGGCACAAAAGGATTTTTGTGACATAGATTAGCAATGAATGTGTATACAGTACTTCGTAGTTCTACGGGAGGTTTTTAAAATTATTTGTTTACTCTTCATTATCCTTAGGAATTATGACAAGGAATATGAAATATCACTGTTTTTATTTATTTATTTATTTTGTGTTTTTTTTTTCCCGGTACCGGGAATCGAACTCATGACCTTGAGCTTGCCAGGCAGGCACTGGGCTGCTGAGCTAAATCCCCAGCCCAATATCACTGTTTTTAAAGTAAATACATAGCCTAGTGTACTTGACATACTCTTAGTTTTGAAAATTAATCCCTTATGCTAAGGTAAAAAAGCTGCAGTCCTCATAATTGGAGCAAAACACTGCTCAGTCAGAGATGTATTTCTGGAGCTACAGGTTCATTGCCAGCCCTCAAGTAACTTGTTCTGCAAGGATAACAGAATACAGAAAATGACAGGGGAAGTGTTGGCTTAATAGAAGCTCCAAACAGAGTGTAAGTCAAAATCAGCATGCGAAAGTAAGTGCATTGATCACCAAGTGAGCCTTTACTCACACATACAGAAGTAAGTCAGTGACTGAGTTGGAAATCAGAGCTCGTTCAGTGACTAGGTGCGCTTTCCATTGAATGACATTGCCTTGGCACACAAGGCCTTTCTGTAGCATTGGAGAAGTGGAGGATATGTGCCTAGGTGGTGTGGCAGGCACGGCTGTGTCCCCATGCCTCAAAAGGATAGCAGGTGTTGAACTCTTTAGGCTTATGAAGTCCAACGACTCCTCACTTGACTTTTCATCATAGTGATGTCACTGTGTGAGACTCTCCTAGCCTGAATATTCACATCTATGGGGATCCCCTGTAGCACCCCCAAACCTGTTTGAGTTCGTGCTTTCTACCTAACAAGAGAAATATTCCTCTCCTAACTCTTTAGCTTGCAGAAGAAAATTTTCACATCACCCCTGCGTTTGTATTTGGAGATTACTTCTTCCATAACTGCATGGTGCTCCTAAGGCTTCTTTTTGTCTGCTTTTGCTCTCAACTCGCCAGGAGTTGTCTAAATGGCTTTTAATTGTGGAAAGAGTAGCCGCATCCCCAGTCAGCTTCTGAGCTTTCAGGATTTAGCTACCGAGATTAAATCTGTTTTAATGAATTTGCTGGTATATTCATTAGGACTGCTTTGTTTCTGGCTCTCCACTTCTTTAATAGAAAGATTGTTGTCTGCCTTTTGGCATCTGCATTGCATTGCAGGTACTTTGCTGAATGTGTTAGCTTGCTACTGAGTGCTCTTTAATGGGATGCTTATTATGAATTCATTTTTAATCACACATCTCATGTGCATGAGAAGAGAGCTAGTGTGGCACTGGATGCAGGGAAGGCATTTCCCCAGGGATCTTTAACAATCAGAGGCAGTTACGAAATGGATCGACACAGCCAAATGCTTAGTAAAATAAACTTACAGGTAACAATTTTTGCTATTGATTTTTTATAAATTACCCTCAAGCAGTGAGCTGAGATGAAAATAGGTTACATGGTTGTAGCTTTCCATTATTAAGTAGGGTAAAATGCATTTAACTCACTTAGAGGTTTCTCAAGCAGCCTATCAAATTGTGTTATCTGAAAGAAACACAGTACATAATATGTGTGGATGAGACAGGATGATTTGTAGAAAAAAACCAGCCCATCCAGAGTATCTGTGGTTCCTGCTTCCTAAGAAACATAAAGGAAAGGAATAAATTGATTTTTTTAAAAACACAAAATAGCTGATTTTATGATTGCATAAAGATATGACTGCTTTTTTCAACTAGGTTTATAAAAAGACATGTAAATATGAATTACCTTGATTTCTTTTCATGAGTCACAAAAAGATGTAGTCTCTACTGCTTAGAGGAACTTGTTCATATTAGTTAATATATCTCAAAACATATGTTTAGATAGTAGTATAACATCTGATTATAGTTTGTAGTAGTTGACAATTTGGGAAGTTTTCATATTTATTTTAAAGTAATGTTAGGAGGGAGTTTTGCTTTCAGTGTTGGCTGAGTAAGCTACTACTGAACTGACCTAACTAGAGAAAACACCTTAGTTCTAGATGCAGTGCCAGAGGCAGCTGCATGAGGGTGGAGGAGCTTGGACTAAAGCAGACCCATCAGGCCAAGGCAGGTGTTTGGAGGGAAGAGGCACATAGGATGTTTGTCTCCCTTTTATTCCAGACAGCATGTGAGATGACTAAATGTGATGTAAAACTCACACTTTTCCGCCTTCTTAAGCCAAATTATGGAACGTGGGCAAGCACAGGCACCTGGAGTTTCAGAGCGGGGAGAGCCAGGAGCGGGAAACCACAGATCCTGTGTTGTTATATCTTCGGCTCATCTTCGAATGTGTGTGTGCCGGGCAGATTCCAAGCAGCCTGAGTAAAGATGAAAGAACAGGGCTGCAATTGGAGTTGCTTTCAACAGATAGAGTTTGTAGTCGGAGTCCAGCCAAATTAATTGCTTGCTAAAATAGAAAAATTGATAGCGTTGGTAGGAGTATTACAATCCAGAGTCTCCACATCGTAACATTTATAACACATGTTCCAACCCAGAATTGCTTAAGATGTGAAGAAACTGGAAAGTCAGATTATTTTCTCAGTAGGAAAGACAAATAAAAGAGACCAAAATGAGCATGATCCAGATGTTGTTTGCAGATAAGCTCTCCCTGCCCAACCCCCACACCCACATACTAGGGATTGAACCCAGGGCCTTCACAGTGAACTAGATCCCCAGCCCAGCTGCATCTAAGCTAAGTGATGTAAAGCACTAGTTCTCAACATGTGTTCCCTGTACCAACAGCTTCAGCATTACCTAAGTACCTACTGGAAATACAGATTCTTTCGCTGCACCCATAATCAACTGAATCAGAAACTGTGGAATAAGGCCCAGCAGTCTGCTTTTAAAATGCTCTTAAAGTGATTCTGATACAACATGAAGTTTGAAAATCATAGACATAAAGAAACTACCCTCATTATAGAAAGAAATACAAATGGAAGCTCAGGGCTCTGAGGGACAACATCATGTATAATTGGAGAAGCAGAAGGGTGAACAAATAAAAATAAAAACAGATACTTCACTTATAAAGATATCGAGAAGACAAGGTCAGACATGGAAGCACACACCTATAATCTCAGCACTCAGGAGGCTGAGGCAGGAGGATCACTGCAAGTCCAAGACTAGCCTGGGCTTCACAGTGAGTTTAAGGCTAGCCTGAACTACATAGCAAGACCCTATTTCAAAAAAAAAAAAAAAAAGAAGAAGAAGAAAAAGATTCTTACATACATACATATCAATCTCAAAGGAAAAATGCTTACCATCATCAATAGAGAAATGCACATTAAACTACAGTGACATTCCACTAGATATGTATTGGGCTAGTTCTGAGAAACAGCAGTACCAAATGTTGATGAGGATTTGTGGTGCCTGGAACTCTGGCATACTTACAGTGGGAGTGCAGAATGATACAGGCACTGTGGAAAATAATATGGCAGTTTCTTGGAAGGTTAAACCCTCTTTTACTCTATATTCCAACAATCCCATTTTTGTAGAAGTGAAAACTTAGTCGTGGGTGTGGACTGGATTTCCCTCATTTATACGATCAAGTTTCACCTCCCCTGTGCTTCAGAATGAGATTGTGTTTGGAAGTAGGATCTTCAAAGGTAGTTAAGGAAAAAAGAGATCGTGTGGGTCGCTTTATCCAGTGTGACTGGCATCCTAGTAAGAAGAGGAAATCATGGCACAGTACATACTGCAAGAAGACCATTGAAGACACTGGGAGTAGACAGCTATCTGCATACCAAGGAGCAAGGCCTAGAACGAACCAACCTGTTAGTACCGTGCAGTTGGACACACCACCTTCAGGACTATGAGAAAATAAACTTCTACTGTTTAAACCACCAGTCTATAGTGTTTTACTGGCAGCCTGTGTAGGTTAACATATTTCTGTTTCCACAGAAATTTGTACCTGGATGTTTATAGCAGCTATATTCGTAGTCAGCAAATACTGAAAATAGTTCAGATGCCCTTTAACTGGCAAATGGATACATTGTGGTACAGCTCTATGAGCTACTAGGCAATGAAATAACATAGACTACTGATTTCTGCATAGTGTGGGTGAATCGTGAATGTATTCTGCTAAATAAAAGAAGCTCAGCTGAAAATGCTCCAGATATAGCGATGCCACTTATATGACATTCTAGAGTAGAAAGAAAAGAGTATAGGGAGACTGGTGGTTGCTCACAATTGAGTGACGAGGAGGAATGGATTAGCAGGGTTTTTTGGTGGAGAAGCTGTTCTGTGTCTTGGTTGTGGTTATTGGTGCATGACTATACGCGTTGGTTTAGCAGTCCCATTTTCCCAGAAGAAGACACCCAAAAGAATGAATCTTACTATGCATGAAATTTTAAGTTAATTTGGAAAGTAAATAAAAATAAAGAAAAAGAACAAACACAATAAAGATAATTTCAGGTAAGAGAAAACTAAAGGAATTCACCTCCAGCAGGTGGGTACTGAGAGAAACGCTGAAGCACATTCTTCAGATGCCTTTGAAAGAAAATGATGCCAGATGGATATACCATCTTCCTATGTCGCCACCCTCACGAACACCTAGGGGTCATTTAGGCAGTGAATAGCGGGGAGTAGAAGAAATGATGCATCCGTCAGTCATTTCATAGACATAAGGCGCCTATGGAACTGAAAAGAGAGACTCTTCTCAGGCCTTCACTCATTGACTGAGTATTATTAGGAACCCATTGTATGCCAAGCACAAGTAATTCCTGGAATAGAAAGGTGAAGACTCCATGGTTCTTTCCTTGTGATTGGTGGGAAGGACAATAGTGCAACCAAGGCTGTGCACCTCATAAGTGAAATTGTGTGTGTGTGCACACGTGTGTGCATGCACGTGTGTGTGTGTGTGTGTGTGTGTGTGTGTGTGTGTGTGCGCGCGCGCATGTCTGGTTCTGTATCCTCTCGCTCTATTGCTGCCCGTTATCCTGCCATGGGAGCTAGTAGCTCAGCGTCACTTCTCTTTCCCTTCCAGACATCATTCAGTCGGGGTTTCACTAAGAACATGAAACTTGAAGCTGTGAACCCCAGGAACCCTGGAGAACTCTGCGTGGCCTCCGTGGTCAGCGTGAAGGGGCGGCTGATGTGGCTGCAGTTGGAAGGTATGTTTGTGAGAACATAGGTCTGTCCGGATGTGGCAGGGACTACACAGAAGAAGTCAGCACGCACCCAAGTCCCTTCCTTTTTTTAAACAGCTCTTAAATTATTCAGTGTTCTTAAATAAGTGAAACTAATCAAATATAAATTCATTCAGAGGCGCTCATCTTAACTAATAATTTCATAAAATGAGATGCTGGTGAGATAATTATGTTTGGAACACAGTGGTCTTTTTACATCTGTGATTGTAAAAGCTAATGTCACGATTAAATTAATATGAGTCACTAAAAATGGTATTTGAGGTCTTGGTTATTATGAGAATAAAATCATATATTTGCATTTTAATGTGAAGAATACCCTTTACTTTGGTTTCTGATGTAGATGTTTAATTTTTCCTCAGAATACTGACAGGGGAGAGTAACTTTCTCCCCAAGTAGATAGTAAACAAGATTAAGACTGGTTTCTTCAGTAACATTAAAGCTATTCTATAATGAACATATAAAAAACTATTGTACAGTTAATTTACAGATGTACAGAAAATTCACAGAAAAGTGAATTTTGTGTATAGAACCTTGATCAGATTTTGAGTTTAGGTAGAAAACTATTTTATAGATGGTATGCTTGTATTGAAAAATAATCAAAATAGATTAAATCTCTAATGTTTTCTCACCTTTTTCTCATGTATAATTTTTTGTAATGATTTCACAGAACTTAGTGGTGTTTGTAAATGTGCATGAAGGAAAATAGGAATAGACTGAGTTAGAAAATATTGTTACCCCAAGTTCTTCGGTGGGCCGGCGGTCTCATAAATATTGTCATCTAGTAGATTGGAAAATGTAGGGAATAGTTATTTTGGATGTTACTGTGTTGTTAATTCCAAGAAAATAAAACATTGTTGAGGCTTAGGGTTTCAACATCAATTGGAAATCCACGGTGATTCTTAAAAGTTTATTTCTTAGTGTATTTTCAAGTGGAATGACCTCTATTCATAATCAGCCGAGAGGTAGACAGAGTATTGCTGTTTCTCCTGCTACAGGAATAGAATGACTTCGTTTCCGTAGGGCTGATGCACTGCTGTTGAAGACACAAGATCTCTTCTGTGACTTCAGATCACTATATTTAACTTGCTAACACTAGCCATGTTGATGAAGTTGGAGACTTGTTTACATTATTAATTTGAAAACAAAAATGGCAAAGTTAGAAGCCCATGTTTCATCATTATTATTTAGCACATTCTGGTGAAATTCTTTAGCAGTCATTATTTATTTAGCAGTTTCTGCTTTCAGTGTGCTTTACAGCTGTTAATTACCTAACACAAACAGCAGTGAGAGTGTCCTGATTTTTATAGATGGAGAAACCAGCTAAGCTGTTAAGAACTGCCTGGGGTTCATTTTCACTGCTCTTGACATTTTCTCTGTTGCTTAATTCACTAGACCGTACAGTTTCCCACTTCTTCAGATAAGAGTGATGAGCAACGCTTAGTGTATATTTAACATTTTTGACATTAATTCCTCCTTTTGCTGGTCTCCTTGGGATATAAATTTTTGGTTTTAGAACAAAAAGGGAAGTAGCGTGTACCATTTCTTCTTATTCTCCAGAGTGCTTTGACTATGTAGTAATAAAAGGTGATTAGTATTAGCAAACAGGTTAGAAAATAAGAGTATCCATTTTTTCTTAGACCTTGCTCATTTTTTACAAAAAGTGTTTGTAAATAATCTGTTGAATACTTTAGTGCTATCTTTTGAGTATCATCTGGAATAATTGGAATTATTGGTCCAAATTATTTTTGTATCACTTAAAAATATATTACATGAAAATAAAGTAAAATTTCAGCATTTCCTTTTTTTTTTTTTGATTTGGCTTGGCTTGGTGTTGGCTCGTTACTCTTAAAGTGTTAATTTATGTTATTTATATAATAAAAAGTTTTCCTCATCAGTCCTAGGGATATAATGATAAAGACTCATTATAGTCACTTTGTGGCTCTTAAATTATTTTATATGATGATGGTTATTCTGATTATAGACCATTTATTTGACACTTGAAATATTATAAAGTACTGCATTAGTTTTATTAGTTATTTTAATGCCTTAAATTGATTTGAAGTCTTTTGAACACATGGCTGATTGACCACTTTTAGGTAATTAAAATGATCACTTCTAGTTAATATTTGACTTCTCTTGAAGTTAAATCATTCTTTAAATATCCTGAAGGGTCTGATGTTGAAAGGGAGCAATAGATATGATATGTGAGATTAATGTAACATTATTTTAGGTGCGCAGTGGAAAAGTATTCTGAGCTCTCACAAACCACTGATAGTTAGGAAGGGCAATTTATGATGACAGTGTTTAACGTTTGGGAACAGATGCTGTGGTATTTTCTCTCATCTCAACCGCCTGCTGTAGGTAATCACTCTACAGTTATGAACATTATCCATACAATATAAATTATTCTCAAGTTTAGGTCTCCAGCACTGCAGCCACACACACTGGCTCACACACTCGTGGGGCTGCCTTCTCCCGAATCAAGTAACTTTATATTCACTCCAGATCATGCCCTACAGGACAGATGTGGCTTGGGTGTTTCCCTTGCTCTCACAGCTCTTTAACCCTTAAGAGGGTCCCCCTCTTTGTGTTACCTTTTTGGTTTCTCTTGTGAGGTCTACTTTCCTAGAATCATTTTTCCTGACCACTTTCCGAAGTACAGGCTGAGTATCTCTCGTCTGAAATGCTTCAGACCGGAAGTGCTTTGGGTTCAGATTTGCATTTTTTGCAGTATTTGCATACATATATCTTGGGGAGGGAACCCAAATCTGAACATGAAATTCATTTATATTTCATATATACTTAGTGTACATAGCTTGAATATGGTTTTATACATTAATTTTAGTAATTTTGTGCACAAAACAAGGTTTCTGCCTGTGGTGTCATTGTAGAACTCAGAAGTCTCAGAAGTGAGAGCAGTTTGGATTTTTGGAGTAGAGATGCTCCACTTGAATGTATGTACACATAACTTTATTTCACACTTCACATATTTAGAGCTAGTACAATTCTAGCTCGATGTTCCAGTGGTTAATGCAGCAGATTGAATTGTTTAGCTGTGAGAGTGTGCGTGTATGTGTGTGTGTGTGTGTGTGTGTGTGTGTGTGTGTGTGTGTGTGATGGGAGACTGAATCGAGAGCATTTGCCCTAAGTTACATCTCTAGTTCTTTTGTTATTTTTAATTTGAGACAGTATTTTGCTACCTTACTAAATTGCCCAGGCTGGGCTTAAACTTGGGATCTTTCTGTTGCAGCTTCCCAGGGTGCTGGGGTCATAGGCATGTGCCACTATGCCTGGCTAGTAGTTTAGTTTTTTATCCATAGTTCCACAGGAGAGATTTTACTCTTAATAATTATTTTACTGTTTAAAAATTATAGTGAAACATACATAACAAAGTTTACCGTTTCACCTGGCCATTTGTGAGTGTCCAGTTCTGTGTATTCACACTGCTGCTGTGATATAATTGCTGCAGTGAACAGTGACTCAGGCCATTGCCTCACAGACTTAATGGGCGTGCAGGTCACCTGGGAATCTTGTTAGAATTAGATTACTATTAAGACTAGGCTGGAGCCCGGCGTCTACATTTCTAACCAATTCCCAGGTGATGCCAGTGGTTGTGGTTAGTGAAGCTGATGCTGGGTGACAAGGGATTAAACAGGTAGTTGTTTCAAGCAGCAAAAACTAGGGGGTTGCCAGAATAGAACTGGTAGGTCAGCCTGAAGGTCCAGCGCACTGGCCGGCTTCCTTCTATCTTTCCGGCGTAGCATTCTTTTAGTTGGTGCCATTTGTCCTCATTACAAGATGGGTGCTGTGGCTCCAGGGATTGTCTCAGTGTTGAAGGAACAAAACAGGAGGGATGAGGACAAGCACATTCTGAGTCACTGAAGTGTCTTTTAGAGAAACATTGCCAGTGACGCGTGCTTAAATCTAATTGTCTAAATCATATAACCCCTACCTGCTCCGGGCGTGTTGAGTAGCCCTGTTTGCCCGTTTCTGTAGGGACAGAGGTGGTGACTGAGTTTTGGGCAGCCACTGTCGAGTGTCTGCCACACTTAGCAGCACAGGAGTTGTGATGATGTGGGAGGTCTGCCCAGATAGCAGCGGCACAGGGCAGCGAGGGCAGAGCTGTGAAAAGGATTCCGTCCAGGAAGGCACGTGTGGAGAGAGAGGGGCCCAGCGTGGAGGTGACGATGCGAGCACAGGCAAGGGGCAGGAAGGTGTCTGTATCTTCCAGCGGACAGCTCTGCCCTTCAGACGCAGCTCCTACTGCCGGATGCTTCTTGCCTTTGATCTTGATGATAATGCCTGATTATGATCTTGATTATAATGCTGAAATTTCCTGATTGTAATGCCGCTGCCTGGTGCTAAGGTTGGAGAATGTCCTCAAGCAGACCGATTTTTGGTCATTTGCTCTCTGGCAGTGCAGGATCGCAGATGCTCAGTGCTCGGAGAGTTCACGAAGCATCAGAAATTACAGAACAGGGTGGTTCCTGGGGTCCCGAGTAGGCTGGCATTTCTCATTCTGTAAAGAGGGAATCTGTCTTGAGTTCAGGGTTAAGCAAGTGGAAAGTGACTTGGAATGGTCAAGGACTCTTTAAACGTATTCTTCATCTATCAGGATACTGGAAACTTGAACGAGACGAGGCTTTTTGGTCATGCTTACTTCTGACTCAAGAGTGTCATGTGTCTTTTTGTGGTTGTTTTGTTCATTCTTTTTTGTGGTGCTGGGGATCAAACCCAGGACCTTGTGCATGCAAGGCGAGAACTCTACCACTGGACCACTTCCCCAGCCCGCATCATGTGTCTTGATGTTCCAACTTTGTTAAAATCTCTGCATTAGCTTTCCATCACTGTAACAAAATTCCTGAGATAGTCGGCTTCTAAAGAGAGGTTTTATTCTGGCTCTCTGTGTTGGAGAGTCCAGTCCTTTATAATTTGTCTCCATTGTTTTGGGCCTGGAGTGAGAT